CAACTCACTGATTGTCTGAACTGGAGCAAATTAAAACCTATTATTTCATATTAGAGGAGGATGCTGATACCTGTCTTTTTTTTTTAAAGATTTATTTATGCACACAAGAACTGGGGTACAGGCCAGAGGTGCGGGTGGTGAGAGGATTCACCAGAGACAGAGTGGGGAACAGAACAGGCACATGAAACACATGGCTGAGGGGAGCAGAGGTGAGACAAGAGAGGTCTGCTGCACCATGTGGGTCACCTTCCTGGCTGGGGATTGAACTCACTGCAGTGGCTGTGGAGAGCTTCATAGTGCTGTGCTTTAACCCACTGTGCCACCAGGGAGGGCTCAGATGATATATTTCAATCTGCATATGGATTACTCTTTACTAGTTTTAAATTTTTCTCCTTATCATATTTTCAAACAGTAGACTAAAAAACTGAAGAATGATTGCCCTTACAGATTTGAACCCAGAATAGCAAGTTCTTTACGTCTGATGATTTGTCATCCACGCCTCTCTCACCTCTATGTCCCCTGTTCCCCAAGAGTGGCTAATTGACCTAATTAGAAGAGCATAAAAGGTAAGAGTAGGGAATAATTTTAGATTATACCTTTTAGTAACAATTTCTTTCAGCTAACCGGTTCCCAAGTGCTATGGACTTCTGACATTCTAAATATTTCTCAACCTTTCCTCTGTCTCACATGGTATTTCCGGTGCCACTGGATACAGATCATAATCAGTTCTCACCTCCTTCATGCAATAATATCTCAACTGGTTTCTCGGTCTCTATTTTTCTCCATTCAGAGTCAAAATTACTTTTCAAAAATGCAAATCTTTTATATAGCTAGTCAAAATCTTTCTAGTTTTCTTTTTAGCCCATTGGAAAAGTCCAGAGTCTTTTACCTGACCTAGAGAATCTTTCCGGTACTGGCTCTTGCTTTCCTCTCAGTGTTACCTTTAGTTGTTCCTGAGTCTTAGCCATAGGTCAGAGTCTTTGGTTCTCATGACCTTTTCTTACGCTGGAAAGATGCTTAGCTTACTTAAACACCTACACATCCTTCAAAACTCACCCATTCCTGCTCTTCTCAGCTATGTGTTCCTTTTAGCACCATTTCCATGTTGCTAACATAGCATTTTTTTTAGAGGTATCACAATCAGCTGTAAAATCTGTCTTTTCTACTGATTTTTTTTTTAACATTTATTTATTTATGCACACAGAACTGAAGGACAGGCCAGAGATGTGGAGGGTGAGAGGACTCACCAGAGACATTTGGGAACAGAATAGGCAGACCTAGGATGTACACTGCTGAGGGAAGCAGTGTGTGAGACAGGGGAGGTCTGCTGCACCGTGTGGTCAGCTCCCTGGCTGGGGACCGAAATCCTGCTGAAGGGGCTGTGTATAGTTTCATAGTGTTGCTCTTAGTTTCGTAGTATTGCGCTTTAACCTGTTGTGCCACCAAGGTGGGCCTGAATTGAGTATTTCTTAACAGAGGACTTTTGGGCTCTTTTAGTTCCTCAGTGATGAGGATAGTGTATGCTCAAACATTCTATAGAAGCAATGTGCCTAGCAAGGTGTCGAGATGTCCCTCCTACCCGCCAGCCCCCTACTCCCAACTTGAAGAGGTCAAGAGAGTTAATGTGGTGAGTTACAGTCAACTGGAGGAAGAGTGAATTAGAATCACAGAAAACAAAAAGGGGACCCTGCTTGGTGGTAAAACAGGTTAAAACACAGCACTATGAAGCTATCAGCAGCCACCACAACATGAGTTCTAGCAGATCCTTGGCCAGGGAGCTGACCCACATGGCATAGCAGACTTCTTCGGTCTCACCTGCTGCTCCCCTCAGCCATGTATTTCAGTAGATCTACCTATTCTGCTCCCCACCCGATTCTGGTGAAACTCGTCACCCTCTGCACCTCTGGTCTGTCCCCCAGTTCTTGATGCATAAATAAACAAACAAACAAAAAGGGGCCTTACCTGGCAGCACAGGGGTTAAAGTCTCAGCACTATCAAGCTATCACCAGCCACTCTGGCATGAGTCTGATCAGGGAGGTGAGTCACAAGGCACAACAGCAGACCTCTCCAGTCTTGTCCCACTGCTCCTCTCAGCTGAATATTTCAGTACATCGGGCTGTTCTACATCCGCCTGTTCTGCTCCCCACTCTCTGTCTCTATTGATCTTCTCACCCCCCCCCCCCCCCTCTAGCATATTATACCTCAGTTCTTGTATGCATAAAAAAAAATCTTTAAAGAAAGAAAATGAAAAGGAAGAGAAAAAAGAAAGGAAAGGTAAAATACCACCTTGCCAGAATGGCAGGGAAAGGAAGTAACTTCCACAACAGGAAAGGCTTTCAACTGCTAGGGAGGCAGATCTATTTTCCTTTTCAGGGAAAAGAACGCTAATGTTAGCCAAATCTTCTGGAAATGAGCAAATTCCTTCCTATCCCTTCCTTCCTTTCTCCAGTTGGAGAATGGCTTTTAAAATATGGTGACTTGGAATTAGTAACCCAGGCTGGGGTATCAGGGGCTAGCCAGGAGAATGGAGAAGAAACCCAGCTTTGTTCTTTAGTATTTTGCCTGGGGAAGGACAGATCTGACATTAAATCTCCAGAAAGCTGGTTAAAAACCTAAACAGTGTGGAGAAATGGAGACCTCTAGGATAGAGGTCATCATGATCAGAAAGTATTTTGAAAACACCTCCTTCTAATGCAATCATAAAGTCACTTGGGTGGCCAATAATGAAAAGTGGAGACTGTTTGATTGGGCCCTTCCCAGCAAAAGGCAGCAGCAAACAAGTTTTGCAATACAAAGGCACAGAAGGTCACTTATTTTTCTGATTGTGAAATGAACATAAGACAAAATTAATTCATTTTAGAAAGTAGATTTAAAAAAAAAAAGGCAAGGAAATAATTAAAAAGCCATTTAAAATGCGTTTTATTTCATTTGGTGAAAGCTTCCAGTATGCGTCTGGTTCTCAGCTCACAAAGCTGGTCCTCCCTCACCTGCAGATGAGACTGATGAGCTCAGAGAGGCCACGGGGCCTTTTAGGAAGTGGCCCAGGTGTGTTTGGAATCCAAGTCCTAACTGCTCGTCTCAGACCTTTCTGGACACCACGGCTATGTCTTTAAAACTTTGCTACCGACAGAACCAAACGATTGTGTTTGTTTGAGGTAAAAGTAGAAATGGGAAAGGGAATCAGGATGCACAGGGAAGAGGATAGAGGGCCTTGATCTCACTTTCCATTTGCTCAGTGGCTGGCTGGCCCGAGACATTACTTCTCTAACCCCAGAGTTAAAACAAGGAAATGAACGATGCAGATCGGCTACGTGTGCCCTGACAAAGTAACTAAGGAGGTGACAGCCGGTAGCTACGCCAGAGCCGTCAACTTCATCGATTTCGGGGGTGAAATCGGCACGAGGGAAGCGAGGCAGGTGAACCACGGCTCTCCGGCTGCTGTTCCCGCACTCCGTGTTCCAGATGCTTCTTTACAGCCTGCCCGTCCGTGCGGCTCGGGCTCCATTTCCACCCGTTTGCACGCCAACGTTTGGGCGTCGCTCTCGGGCACCCCAGACACGACAGACGCCCGCCTCGGCGACGAGGTAGCCCGTGCCCGGTAAAGGACGGCGCTCCCGCAAGAGGCGGCCGGCGGGGCTTCCTTTTTGGCCCCCCCCCGACGCCGTCCTCGCGCCGCGGGAGGGGGCCTCTCCACGCGGCCATCCCGCCGCCCCGCGCGCCACGGCGCGTGCGGCTGCGGGGCGCGGGCAGCGGTGACCTCAGACTACCCCGCGCCCGGCCGCGGCACGCTTGGGGCGAGACGCGAGGCGGTGTCCTGAGGTGACACCGACTGCGCGGCGGAGGCAGCTGCAGGCGCCGCCGATCAACTAGTTCGCACCGAGGATTCCTCTTGGTGCGTGGCCCAGTTTTCCTTAGGACGGGCTCCAACCCCTCGCTGACACCGCCCCCCGCGCCGCCACGCTCCGAGGCCTTCCCCGGGGAAGCCTCGCGTCCCTCCCCCGCCGCTCGGCTCCGGCGGG